CGGCGGTCGGGAGGAGCCGGGCGGGCGGGGGCTGGTGGGCGCTGGGCCGCCGGCTCCGCTGGGATGCCGCTGCAGCCCGCTCCGGTAGTGCGAGCTGCGCCTTGGCAGTTCTCCTTAGCGATACTGGGGGTGGGGGGGGGGGAGAAGCCGGTCAGAGAGGGAGCTATTGGTCCGGATTTTCACCCTCAAAAACTGCTGCTGCCCTCCTGCTGTCCGGATTTCTGTTCATCTGCTACCCAGGGGTTATTTTCAGACAGCGGTCCCCTGCCCACCTCACCTCTTTGTCTCCAGGTGACGGCGGATGCAGAATTCTTGGGAGGGCAGAGGAGCATTTAGTCTTGGCGGTGGGAAGTGAATTGCAAGGTCGTGAGCACTGCTTGTCAACGTTTTTGATGGGGGGGAAAAAAACCCCAGACAACAGCCTTTTTTAAAAAAAGTCCCGGAGGCATCGTCTGCAGTGGTCCAACCACGGTTTTCATTTACAAACACGTGCAGTTAAGATATACCTTGATTGCCTACTCATTGCCTCTAGTTCTGCCCACACATACTCTGTGTGGATGGAAACTGCATGTGCTTAAGTGTTTGCAATATTGTCACCATTTCAGGACCAAGACCATCATTTCAGAACCAAGAGAAGAACTAAGAGGGAATCAAGTGAACCTAGTAGAAGCCAGGCTGCAGACAACGGGAAAGAGGTGGTTCTCTGCACAGTCCACAGTGGACTTGCAGTGTTTATTACCAAATGAGGCTCTGGATGGGAAAGAATGGACTTGGAGTCAAGGGAAAAATGGACAAGTACTCAGAAAAGAAATCTACAGAGGGTTACTAAGCTGACAGCGGCCACATCCAGCTCAGGAAATTCTCTGTGCTAAAAATAATTGGAAGCTAGGCAAGCACTTGTGAGACATTTCATATGTGCTTTCCCTCCTGTTCCCTAAACGTTTTTATTTATAGCCACTTGTGAGATGAATACTGGACTAGATGGACCTTTGGTTCAACCCAGTATAGTTGTTTTAGTGAGCACCTTTCATAGAATCATAGAATCACACAATCATTTAGGTTGGAAAAGACCTTTAAGATCATCGAGTCTAACACTGCCAAGTCCACCACTAAATCATGTCACTAAGCACCACATCTACACGTCTTTTAAATACCTCTGGGGATGGTGACTCCACCACTTCCCTGGGCAGCCTGTTCCAATGCTTGACAACCCTTTCAGTGAAGAAATTTTTCCTTATATCCAATCTAAACCTCCCCTGGTGCAACTTGAGGCCATTTCCTCTTGTCCTATTGCTTGTTACTTGGGAGAAGAGACCAGCACCCACCTTGCTACAACCTCCTTTCAGGTAGTTGTAGTGAGTGATAAGGTCTCCCCTCAGCCTCCTTTTCTCCAGACTAAACAACCCCAGTTCCCTCAGCTGCGCCTCATAAGACTTGTGCTCCAGACCCTTCGTGAACTTGGTTGCCCTTCTCTGGACACGCTCCAGCACCCCAATGTCTTTCCCATAGTGAGGGGCCCAAAACTGAACACAGTACTCGAGGTGCGGCCTCACCAGTGCCCAGTACAGGGGAACCAACCATCACTTCCCTTTGTGGGTCTCAAAGACCACTAGAGATCCATGGGTGGCACAGGGAGAAAAACAGAATCTGCCTTCACTTCATTCATGAAATGGGCTAGGGAGGACACCTTAGGACGGTGAACACTACAGCTTGAGCTTGCTTGCTGTAAATTCAGAAGACATGCATTTAATCTGAATACTTGCAAACACCCTCTGATTCCACTCATACTGCAAACATACAAAGTACAGATTCACAGCACTGGAAACAAAAAAGGAATTGAAACAACCGTCTCATCTGACCTTATCTTTAGGACAAAGAATTTACACAGTAATTTTTATCAAGGACTTTATCACATGACTGAAGGAAAGACAATTTCAAGAGAATGTTATTGTACGTTGTACACCATTTCTGGGTAAGCCTTCGGCTCCATCACCTGGGTTTGCTTGATTCAGCCATTCACCACTACTAAAAGGCGAAACACTGTGCTTCTTGGCTCCGGCAGCACAATCTGAAAACGTGTCTTATGTCAGTTTTCTCACTTTTAGGACCTCTGCTTGCTGCAATTCAATTCACTGAACAGGCGGAAGAGCACTGCAGAGGGGAGTTTCTTCTGGGCTAGTGAGCAGAGCTGTGCAGATGGCTGTAGGGTCCAACAGGCGCCAGAGCTGACACCGAGGTGGAGTGGGACTGGGCAGCTGGGAACAGGAACAAAAGAGGAGGAAGAGGGAGAGGAAAAGGGGGAAGAAGCTTTGGGCAGTGACAAGCTATTGGCTTGACTCAGGGTGCTTGTGCAAACTGCAGCCTGAAATGCATTATCTTTCCTTGCATATTCTTGCAGCTTGGAAAATGCAGGCTAGTGCAATTTCCTGCACTGAATTATTTAATGATTATACACAGCCATGTTTGCCTTTGTGCACTGATATCCCATTTGCAATTTGTTCCACATGTTCACACTGAAATTTCTTACAGCTACAGTGTGCCTAAGAGGAGGGAATTAGGTATCAGCCACCCCAAACCTGCTGTCACCCAAAAATGGTTAATTAACATAACCCCAAAGGGTCACATCTCAGCCAAGAGCCAGTTACATAAAATAAGCTGGTTAGATGTTTGTATATTGTTTTTAATATACAGACTGCTATAGAACATAAGGTCTAGCAAAAGATTAAGCTGTCTTGACCCTTCCTCCCAGGGGAGACTGACTACCAAGACTAAGATGCTCCTCTAAGAGGTGGGACAGCATGTGCAGAGTCTGAAATCCTGACAGCAAGAGAGAGAGACATCCCTCCGAGGTAACCTCCGGGAAGTAGATTGATTTCTTTTTTTTAGATATAGGATCAATTTTAGGAGTTGGTGTCTATTTTAGGTATGAGTACATACTTGCATTTTACCTTAGCATGGCTGGAGTTAAGTGAGATGAAGGTAGCTAGCTAACAGTAAGGCATTTCTCAGCCAGGAGCATGACAGATCTTTGAGCTGGAGCCCTGGGACATTTTAAAACTCCTCCTCCACCACATCAAGAGAATAAGAAGGGCCCCATAGGCCTGGTGGAGAGTTGGTACCCCAGGCATGAGGGGAAGCTCAAGTGTCTTCCAGTGACTTTTGATGACGCTGGAGGCTCTCTGGCATGCAGTGAGGTATTAGGCTACACATTTCAACCCCCAAGGTCATGATGCTGTGTGGAACATCATGCATGAATAGGGACATTGTATTAGAGTACTGGTTTTAGAAAACATTCTAGTAATTTGTATAAACTTTCTTATCTCACTGAGTAAATGCTCAAGTGGTGAAACGCTAAATATTTACATAGTGAAATAAGAATATTGCTTTCACTGCTTTAAAGTATATTGCATCTGTGGCCTACATTTTGACTTGATAAATTAATGTGAGATTTGATAAATTAGTTTTTTAGTCTCACTAATTAACTTTCCACAAGCTTATTTTAGCATGAGACATTCACATGAAAAAATTACTAATATTCATGTGTGTACTTCTCATTTCTCCTATGGCATTGCTCCTGAGTCCCATATAAGGTTGTTTGTCTTTCCCTTGCTGGGATGACTAGAGCTTTTTAAACAGGAAAATGACAGACAAATCATTAAGGCATTGATCACCTCATGCAAAAGATGGTGAAGCACTTCAGGAAGAAAATGCCTTAGCCAGTAAGCTGTTTGATGGGTTAACAGCTTTGGTTTTCCTAACATCTTTTGTATAAGAGCCAGCATTATGTACACATCAAATTTAGAAATACTTGGTCCCTCTCTTACTAAGGAAGACAAATTCAAAATATTTTTTTGGCTTTTAAGTTGGCCTTTCATTTAAGTAGCTCTTGCAACACTCACACAAAATGAGTGTGGGGGTTTTTTTCTATATTCCCATGCTTATTTGCAAAAAGCTCACTTGTCTTTGTGTTTCAACTGGTTCACTTCCTTAGCTCTAGAGGCCTGGCAAGGGGAACCAGAGGAACTACCAGGTATTGTCCAGTCTCCCCTCCTCTTTTCAGGGTATGTACAAAAGCGTTTCCCATTCTTGGCAGTGCACAGATTACATTCATTGCTGCTCATTTGCTGCTCTAAGTTCAAACAATTTAAGTTGTCTGCTAGGAACCGGTCAGAAGGATCAGTGTTTGTGTGATTCAAAGGACTGAATGCATCTGGCCGAGCTAATTTTAGTCTTGTGATAAACCACAGGAAAAGTTAGTAAGTTTTCAGCAAAAAAAAAATTGGTATGTTTTAAACTTCTCTTTTATAACATCCAAGTTCCTGCAAAAGCCACCATGATGAGATAACAGGAGGAATTTATCATAATCTGTCCAACATTTCAGCACTAGAGTGAGATTCATATCTGTTTAGATTCTTATATTTCATGCAGCACTGACCTGGTAATTGTTATAACAGTGAGCTGAAGTGCAGAGAAAAAGGCATTTTGATCCTGAGATATGCAGAGACAATCTGAAAGGGGCTTCCTAAGCCTGTCCTTACTCAGCTTTTCTATTTTGTGTTAAAAGTTCAAACACTGACTGGGCCAGAGACAGTGAGATTCTTGTGCAGACTGACAGCTAAAGCATGACCAGGAGATGCGTATGTGTTTTAGTGCTTGCTCCTGTGAACACATAAATATTTTATGGAAACAAACAGCTTCAATAAGAAAAAAGATCAGAAATGCACATCAGACCAGCAGAGCCAATAACTCAAGCTGATGGCATGGTCTGCTAAACCAGCATTTTGCACTACCCAATGACAGTGATGCCACTTGTTCTATACACACAAGTCCCTCTACTTATCTATTATACCTGGAACATCTTCTA